CGCTCAGTCCCTGCGCCGCGGTGCCAGGCGGTGCGCCCCGGGCCCCGGCGGAGAGTCTCCCTGGGTTTCCTCCCCTTGTCCCGAGGCTTCAGCGTCAAGCTCGCCTCTCGAATCCGGCAGGAACGCGGGGCTGGTGCTGGCGGCCCGAGCGGCCGCGGGGCTCGGGGTAACAGGGGGCCCCATTCTTGGATTTCTTTCCGGATTTTTGATTTCTGATCATTCTTATCATGAGAAGACTCTGAGATGATAAACGGACGAGCTGGGCCCTTGGCTGGGCGGCCGAGTCGGCGCCGCGCGGAGAAGCCCCGGTCCTACCGCCTCCGTGAGCGGCGCCCCCTAGAGTTGAGCGGCGCCTTCACAGCGACCGGCCTGGGCTGCGCCCGGCTGATGCGCCTGGTAATTCTCCAGGGCGTTCTGCTCCCCACTTTAAATATGAGGGAACTGAACCTTAGGGCGAATGACTTGCCGGGTGATAAAACGTATGACTCCCACCCATGCTCAAAATCGTCACCCACACCCTGCCACTTCCCATTTTTAGCTGAAAATACTTGGGTCGGTGGCTAGAAATGTGTACATTTCCTAGGCAAATTCACGTCAGATTATCAATATTTTGGAGGAAAATTTAGATTCCTGAAGGCGGATATAAAATAAAACGGCCCAGCTTAGGCAAGGCCAGGACACTGAAAATTGGTGCATCTCAAGGACCCAGTGCTGTGAAGGGAGAACTGCCTCGTGTCTTCGTTACCAAGGTTTCCCGGTTTCCGTGGCAACCCTACCTCCGGAGTTATTCGGATAATTGAGATATTACCGTGCCTTAATGTTTCCAGGTACCCCAGGGTCTCCAGGTGTCATCATCGCATGGGTCCACAGCAGGGTCTACAGGCTAAACCAACCAGGTACACAGCAGGAGTGATGTTTCTAGGATACTGAATTCATCCTGACGGCCTCTCCGTGCATATTCAGGTCCGGATCAGAAACCATAGATAGGTCAAGAAAGCATTTCATAAACGGAGTACAGATCCATAGTAAGTTACCATGGAGACATGAAGAATATGCTACTTTTTATTTTTTAACTGTAGCAGAAAATACTGATTCATCTAGGCTGCAGTTTTAGCTAATAGAGGGGTTCCCCTCACTGGCCCCTCACACAGCCCTTGATAGTGTCTGAGAAGCTGGGTGCCCACAGCCATGGAGGCAAGTTCAGTTGCCCCAAATGGGACTGCCTGCCTGTCCATAGCACCTGCCCCTGCTCTCCTGGATGGACCTTCAGTGTGGGATGCTCCAGGGCGNGGAGGCAAGTTCAGTTGCCCCAAATGGGACTGACTGCCTGTCCATAGCACCTGCTCCTGCTCTCCTGGATGGACCTTCAGTGTGGGATGCTCCGGGGCAGAGTCATTGAGGCCCAATGACCGGGAAGACACAGTTTCTCCTCGGGCTGGTGCAGGCGGTGGGCAGGCCAGGAGGGGCACTTTGCTCACGTTGAGCCATTTCCAACACATCTGAGCAGAAAGATGTCAAAAGAAGGAGCATGGCGGTTTGCGGGCAATATGCTCCAGACAACCAATTTCTCTTCTGCTCTAACTCGTTAAACCTGGGGCTCCTTCTCTCCTCTGCAGAAGAAAAGGTGATTCAGGAACCTACGTCATCAGGCTGGGATGAGCACTTGACATAGAACCAAACAGCTCAAGAATTTATCATTGGCAGAGAGTCTCAAAATGATCGAATGATTAAGTTTCTTTTTCCAAGCGCCCCTCTGAGAGCATCTTATGAAAGAGACCCTTTGAAAGAAATATCGTATACATGAAAAAATCATCCTTACCCTCTGAGTGGTAAGTGTGAGAAACCCTATTGAAAATGATCTGGCCAGAGTGCAAATGGCAGAACCGAAAGAGGCCCAGGAGGCAGGGGGAGGAAGCCCAGGTCACACACCA